GAGCCGGCTGCAGCTGCCAGGTGGGGGCGGGCGGCGCGTGGCCAGGGGGCGGCGGGACGGGGTCGTGCCGGCGGCCGCGCTCATCTTGTCCTTCCGGCCCCGCGCAGCCCGGGCTCGGCGCCATGTACGCCGTGTACAAGCAGGCGCATCCGCCCACCGGCCTCGAGTTCTCCATGTACTGCAACTTCTTCAACAACAGCGAGCGCAACCTCGTGGTGGCCGGGACCTCGCAGCTCTACGTGTACCGCCTCAACCGCGACGCCGAGGTAGGCCTCCGCCCCGGCCCCGCCGCCAGGTCTAGGCGCAGAGGCGCGGCCCCCGCGCTCGGCGGGGCGCCCGGAGCCCGCGCTGCTCGCCGCCGCGGTGTCCCGCCTCTCCCCGCTCCCGGTGGGCACGGCCCCCCGCCCCGGTGCCTCGCAGGTGCTCGTTTGTTTTGCCCGCAAATTACATGGACACCTCGGTGTGCTAGGTAGTGGGAATACAGTGGCGAACAAAACCTGCAGAAACGTGGGACGGGAGAACGTCCACTAAAGAAACACACTCCTGTAAACACACTTGTAGATTGCACCAGGTGCCGCTGAGGAAATGGAGGAGGGAATGAAGGAGGCGGTGTGTTTCCAGCTGGCTGATCAGGAGAGCCTCCGGAGGCCGAGTTGGCGTTTGACAGGGGAAGAACATTCCTGGCAAAAGGAACAAGGCTGGGTCTAATGTGGGGACAGACTATTGGCAGGAGTTTTAGTAAAGTGTGATGAACCCATCAACAGAGGAAAAGCAGGGGTGCTTTGGCCGTTGGAGGGGTGGGAGTTGGTCCAGGAAGGCTTCTTGCAAGAGGCGGCTTTTTATTTGTTCCTAAAGGGGAGGTAAGGTTTAGCCAGGCACAGGATGGGGGAGTGGAGGGTGTTCCAGGCAGAGGGAACAGCCTGTGCACAGGCCAGAAGCTTTGAGGGCAGGGAGGGCATGCAAACTTGGACTGAGGTGTAGAGTGGAAGTGGGGTGGGGGGAAGGATTATTGTCCACAGAACAGGGAGGAGTCACAGAAGAGTTTGGAGTAGGGGCTGATGCAGCAGGCAGATGGGGTTGGAGGGGCAACCAGAAGGAGGCCAACGTTCCTGGGTACCCACCCCAGGACACATGTGTTTGTTTTTGCGTTAAATGTGTGTACTGCTGTACTAATACGTACATGATAAAATCAGCAAAATAGAAAAGGTGGAATATCATAGTGAGAGCTTTGTGGCTAAATACGTGTCATTAAAAAAAATCTTCGTTTAAGCTTTTGCAGTACAGCAGTTTGGAGGTCAGTACTTGGCTTTTGTCAAAATTTCATTCGAAACTGAAAAGGAGATCTTGCAAACACATACCGACAGCCCCACGTTGAATGAGAGCATCTTTGATGTAT